ACCAAGAAGGCATTTTTAAAATGCAACACAATCGAAAGTGCCTGCTTCGCATGCGGCGTGACGTGTGTTTGGCGACATGTTGCGCATATGCTCCGCCCGCTATAGTTTTTGCATGTTTATATTAGGAGCACTGACCTTGCGCAATGTCAAATAGCTGAGCCGGGTGCCTGTAGGGCCTGTGGGGCCGGCGGCGGCGGTTGCGCGCCGATAAAACGCCGCTGCAGCGCGAAAACCCAGCCGAGCCAACTGGTTCCGCCCGCCAGCCTCATCGCTTGCGTCTTTTGTTTTTATGTCACGGAAACGGCTCGGACGCCTGTTTGCATCCCGCGCACATCTTTTGGAACGTTTTGTTCAATCGGACATGATTCGCGAAATAACAAAAAGGGTCCTTAAAATTGTATACAATGAAATAAATATATATTTTACAGTTCGGGGGCAGTCCTTTTGTAAGTACCAGGACAAATACAACAATGAAACTCCCGTGATAACGATTATGGTAAACGCAATATACGCCAAACCGCTCTGTGACTAAACTGTACTTCCCATGTTTTGTCCGGGTCTCGTATCACTTGTGCATGTATATATATATATACCTTAGTCGCTATACTCACGTAGTGTTCGTGCTGAATAATGTTGTTGATTTCATTAACCCAAACAAATTAATTGGTTTGTTAAAATCAAAACCACCATATTTTTGAGTGCCGAAGAACGCGTGATTTTTGTACGAATTATACTTTTAATTTCCGTAAACTGAAACAAATGCTATATTTTGTGTACTTAATGACATATTTTTTTAAATAACGGAGTGTGGCCAATTGGCTTGCATCCAGGGTGCGATAAACACGCCCCCGGAAGTGGCTCTGATTATCTTCGAGACACGTAAATTTAGATAACTGTGCACATCTAAAAGTGGCAGCCACGAGTTCTGAATGCAATGTCTCAGTGTTGTTTGAGGTGGAAATGAAATAGATTTTAGTTGGCAAATGAAATATTTACAATAGGAAATAATAATAATAATATTGGCCACCGCGAGGACGACGTCGGCGGCGCACGGTGATTCACGCTCCATACTAAGGCGGTCATAAATACGTAACTCCGAAATTATTATTATTTTTTTATTTTATTACGTTAAAATATGATTAGGTAAACGTAAATTAATAAAATTATACATTTTAAAAAATATTTGACAATATTTAGGTGTAAAAATGTCTCGCAGTAATTTTGTTTTTAGACGATGTATCTAAAACATTTTATACTGCGACTTTTAATGGTAAAACTGTGTAAATAATGATTATTTGTATTAACAATAACCACAAATGAATAAATTAAAACAATAAAAATACATAAAAAAGTTCATTTTACAAAATACAAACAAAACACAAATTATACCAAAATACATTAAATCTCAACAATATTAACTTTAAATACATAACAAGTCTAATACAGCTTTTGACAGTACACCTTTTTTTTTAACAGGTAACTTTCGTAGACCTGTTATGAAGGGATCTGAATGAAGAAGCAGCCTATTTACTAAATCTGTGTTGGTCACAATGCGACTCATTTTACGCGTATGATTTTTTCTAAAAGACTTGATGTATTTGTTAGTCGCTTCAGCTGCTTCTTCAGACAACTCTCCGATTGACAACAAACCGTAATCTATAACATTAGCACCATGAATTAGAACTTTGTGAACGGAAGCAGGCATGTTATACCACGGATACTCGGCAACTAACTGCCGAGCCGTCTCTAAAGCGAACTCTTCGAAGTTCGTCTTATTAATATTATATCCCGAATTTAAACATTGAAGGATGATCCAGCAACGATCTAGGAGATCCTTCTTGATCCCAGTAATTTCAGCGGAAATTTCTGAATTCGAGAAAAACCGCCTGGCTTTATTACCATCGTTTGATGTTCCGCTTCCGCCACTTTTAGGCTTATCCACTATAAGCCCTAATCTTTCTCTAAATTGAGTCTGAACATATGATTTTTTTGCAGCAACAAGCATTTTGTCATTAGCGGACCTAGCTTGCCATTTCCTAACATCTAACTTGTACGCGACATGAACAAAATATTCAAAAAAACGTATTAAGGCGTGAAGAGGTGATAAACCAAATTCATATTTACTCTCATCGACTTCCTTATTTAAACATTCGTCAATTTTGTTCATTTCACTGGGCAAGGCGTTACAAATAAAACATTTTGATGAAGAAACACCACTAAGTGCATTACACACTTTACCATCTACCATAGTAAGTTGCAAACAATGAGTAATGCGATATTCGCGATCTTCTTCCTTGAAAACAGTAGGCTGCAAGTTCCTTATTTTATCTTTAAAATGAGCTTCTTCCTCAACTGACACTGCAGTCGATTCCTTCAAATATCGGAGGCGTATAGGACGACAGTATCGAGTTGATGAAGGACGAGGATTTTTCCACAAAACTACTGAATTTTCTTTGTTATCTGTTGTCAAAACAAGCTGAAGTGGCACATACGAAAAAACAAACAGGCTACTGTCTTCAAGAGTGGAGTCAGAAAAACACTGTTTATATTCTGAATGCCCTGTACTGCCATCGAAACCCCATTTCCCTATCAAAGATATCTTATCTAGAGACTCATTAGGTACACTATCCAAAACATCTTTTTGAGACTTGAGAATCCGATTGGCAGTATGATCTAATAAACTTTGAAGTTCGACTTCGGCGGATGATTCTGTAACAGTAATATCTGAAGGATAACAGTGTTTTTTAGATTCCACGACACTTTGGTAAGATGGGAAAATGGTTTTTGAAAACTTATTGTCTATAAATTTCTTTACTAATATATATTGATGTCGAGTTAACTGAGCTTCAACAATGAGCGATAAAACTTCGCTAGAATCGATTTCAGGACAAGACAAGCTATCGGACGCATTGAGCAATGACTGTACAACAGAAGGGTCTTGGTTAGACAAACTAGCCAATCTTCTCCTTTTTGTACGTTTACTGGTGTCGTCAAAGTTAATTCTCGGACGGCCATGCGATGAAGAAGTTGATGGTTTAACTTCGTCAAAGCTCTGAGATACACGTAACTCAGTTCGCTGTACATCAATATTTTCAACGACATGCAGCCAATCTGAATATTTTTCTAAGAATTTAGATCTAGTACGATTCGACTTTGCCCAGTAGTGGGAAATTCGTTTACAAATATTCTTAATTTTAAGGCTTAAAGTCTCTAAATCAATATTTTCGATGTCGTCAGAAAGGGATGATGTTTCGGTCAAAGTGCTCAGGACGTGTTGCATTTTTTCATTTGGATTACCCACTTTAGAGTGCCAAATATCAAAAATTGTCATCCTCGATACAGAACATTTGAAAAATGTACCTAAAACAATATGAAAGCTGAACTTAAAAAAAAATTAAAAATTCAATACTATGGACATGCATACTTTGACACCCCTTTAAGCCAAGAAGAGGCAGCAAGATGCAAATGAAACTTATAGCTCTTAATAAGGACATACTTCTTATTCAAAAACCATATACCTCAGGTGCAGCTCAGCGCAGCCAAAAGTTGTAGGTCTAAAGGAAATTAAGTTATGCCAAAAATTTTCACCAAAAAACTGCCTTCAATAAAAAAATTATATAAAAAAAAATATGCATAAAAAAAAATTAAAAAAAATTGATAATAAAAGTACATACCATGCTCTTGGATCTCCATGCTTTCACAACACGTAAACACTTGATTTGGAATAGTGACACTCAAAAACAAAGTGATTAAGTTTCGATGACTCACACGTGGTGACAATTAGTCTCGCGATGCGCTCACTTCCGATGCACAAAAGTGAATGATAACGTGACCTAATTACATTGATATTTATAGTTTTTGGAAGCTTGTTAACTAGTTACTAACTTAGTGAGTTGATCTAACCGGGATAAGCCAATGATTTTTTTTGATTTATGGCCTATGGGGGAATCACAGTGCGGCGTTATGAAAATGGCAAAACTTTATGCGGACGAAATGACGCGTGCTGTATTCGGGTCGCCAAGTGTTATTTAATGTTTACGCGGGTGTTTGTTATGTCAGCGATATCGCTCCTCCTTCGGTTTATTTGGTAGCTACAGTAATCGTTATCAACGAATATGGTCGTCGGTTCAGAGTAGCCAAAGGCTTCATTTTACTGATGGCACAACGAAGACTACGGTAATAGGTGTCAGTCAGAGTCAGTACAAATAAAACACAAGTGTCAAGACGATTAGTGCGCCGTTTTCCCGAATTCCCGGCGTGCGCGGGCGCATCGTAAGGTCACCTTCCGGGTGGGGCCGTTCACCGCGCGGTCACCTACAAACTACCTACCATCCACACACAATGCACCGCTATTGTTCTATTTTTTAACTCTTCATTAATCTTATACCGAGGCTAGTTGCGTTTCAAATATCAGGTTGTATTCATTTTTAGTATTGCTGAGTGTAAAAATTAACACATTTGCAGTTGCGTTAGGCGGTGTTCGTTCCTTTCGACCGCATGAGGAATTTTGCGGCAATGTGCGTATAATCGATTACAAGTCACGTTTCGTCGATTGCGATCGGTTCGAGCTGAAACGAGACTGTACTTCAGAATTTTAAGTAAGTGTAAAGACCTACACATTGTCGTACAAACATATTTTACATAATCCATGTTGCGAAAAAAATCTATTTTTGTATTTTGTATTTCTGACAATATTTGTGGAATATTAAATTGGCATATTTACACGTATTTTGTTGCGCTTGTTTTTTGTTTGTGATGCACCGTATTACCATGTTAATGTTTATTTTAAAAGCGGCGTGACATCACGTCATATTCTTTTATGCTAATAAGAATGATAGCAAACGAATTTTGCGTTTGTCATCGTTGAGTAAAAAATAAAAGGTCGTGTTTTCGCTTACTGTCATTGCAAGGTTGTATTGTGTTGTAATCTTTAAACTCGCTTATCGCATTGAAGATACAGGTATTTGCTAAGGTATTATAAGAATCTGGAGAACACTTACCAGGTGGCCTGGGATGCGTTACGTGGTGCTGTAGTGACGTGGCGATCTGGTGGTGCTGGTAGAAGGGAAGGAAAGGCGCGTGGAAGGGCGCAGGAGGTGGTGGCTGAAGCCGCGCCTTAAGCTCTTCGGCTGACCCGGCTCCGGAGGACGACGACTCCACATCGGAGACTCCACTATCCGCTGGCGATGGGGGAAGGGAACCTGTCAGCAAGAACACAATCAATATTACACATGGCTACCAAAAAGTTTAATATGAAGACCCGTTCAGCGACTGTCTATTTGAACCGAAGTTAAGACAGTGCTGTATTTCTTTGTTCTTAAAAAAGAAAAGCGTTATTTACTACGAATTTGTAAATAACAATTTGTCACATTAAGCTCGTAAATGCCTTTTGTTTATTATATCAATAATGTAAAGGGGCGGTCTAAATATCGAGGCTTGTAGTACCCTGAACAAAACAATAACAATAAATTGTTATGAAACGGTTTCCAAGTTTAAATCTGGTATATTGCGCTTTGAAGAATTTAATAAGAATATTACTACCTAATATTTCGAGTGATACAGTATCTAAAACTTTGGATAGTTAATTCACATATTATGTTCAAGAGGACCATCCCATACGACGGTTAAATTTTCACAAGTCGTCCAAGCAGCACCTATTGTTGCAACTAACGGTCATCTTGCAACAATTTGCATGCAACCCCGCGCATGCGCTGCAATTAATCCTCTAAAACCCAACGGTCAGTTTCGGACAATAGCGTGATGAGACCAGCCGTTAGATGCAGCGAATAAGATGCACTTGCATTCAAGTCACCTGTGGGAAGACTGCTGGTGCAATTGTGATGCAAAAACCAGTATCTTGGCTTAATTTATGATTATGCAGATTTAGGGCAAGGGCTGCATTTTCATCTTTCTTTTTTGCATTCTAATGCTATTCGGGATGTATTGGATTAATAAACAGTGCGTTTTTGGGGCAAGGGTGATGTCACTGGTCATGTTTTCTTTTACTTAAGTCTTGTTTATAAGAATAATGAAATTATTATTTTATTAAATAAATAAAAAATGTTGTTACCGTCTCATGGAGTAGCACTCATGGACCTTGTTTAAAGTTGTAACAGTTATTTCAGTTTTAACATTTCCGTTATGGTATTACAGTCATGTAGTTTATTATAGTCAGTTTAACATCACCTAATCGCCCGGCAACTCACAATTCAAGTTTTAAATATAGATTTCCTTGACCCCCGAGAACCTGATTGGAATCAAAAGTTTGGGACTTTCTCATGTCCGTCCAGCGTCATAAAAAACTTTGACGAATAACGGTCAATATTAATATAATCAACAGCTAGGAAAGAAAGCTGTTTATTCATACATTTCCTCCTTGAATAGTACTGAAGTGACCATTTGACCGGTGCGTTGTCCACACCCCTTTGTGTCCATTGTTAACCCTTCGGGGCACAATGGCTGGGAACCGGGAAGCGGCTCGGCCACCTCGACTATTAAACGGAGAATGGTTTAAAATTACGCGCCTTTCAACCAGGGCGCTGCGCTAACCTACAAATCATTGAGATTTAAATTAAATATTACCATTGTCAAAATATTTGACCACTGTTTTTATGTTTTAAAATAAAATCAGTCATTTCTCCACAAATTTAGTGAATAACAGTAGCCACTATTAATTCCTAATTGTATTAAAAATAAATATCGCACTAACGAAACGTTTTGAAAAAAAAAATCATAGTAAATCCTAATGTTTTTAATTTTTAATTTTAATGTTAACTGCCTCGGTGGCCGAACGGTTACCATGTCGGACCGCCATACAGAGGTCCCAGGTTCGATTCCCGGGTCGGGAGAAATATTTGTATGGCCTACATTTATTTCTCTTGTGAGTTCGGGTGTAATTTGTGGTTGTCTACGTGTGTGTCCATGGCACCCGCGACACAGGGTATCCCTAGTGCGAGGATATGTTAAGTGTGCGTTATTAAAAAAAAATATTAAAAAAAAATGTAGAAAATCTCCCTCGGCTATCGCTGGCCACCACTGACCAACGGCCAGAACACGGAATTGAGTCCTATTATGTTCACCCTTTCATCTGGCGTATCAAAATAATAATAAATTAACTATAAATAATGACCGCTGAGCTTTTTGTGACAGACCAGGACCGGGGGGTCAAATCAGGTCTACCGGTCGACGCGGAATGCGGTCCCATTAGTGCGCGCACAATGAGCCACCCTTCCTTAATCGGAGCATCTTTATGGAGTGACCAATGTCCATAGGTATTGTGTTGCTGGCGTTAGACCATAATCCGTGCGACTCAGTTAGAAGTCGCGATTTTTTTGCATATGAATGTATTTAAACGATCACGCAAACTTAAACAGGAACCTACGATAGGTGTTTAAGGGAATTGAGCGTCTTTTGTTCTTTATTATCTGTTATGTCATTATTCGTTATCAATTGCTGTAATGACTTTTTATCCCCGTAAACAAATTAAGTTCAAAATGACGTAATTCTTTAAAGCAAATTTGAATTTAGTGTCAAGAACATCTCATCACTAGTCTATAAACCGTTGGCGATTCTTTCGCAGCAGTCGTTTGATACTTCCCATATGATATCAGCTGATTCTATGCTTCTAACAGCTGTTCTTTCACATTCATCTTCAATATTCATTTAACCCTCCGGCTTTAGATCAATAAAAACCTTTTGGCGTCTTGTTCGTATCTTTTTCATGCTAATTCCATTCCGTTAGCATCAGCTAAGACGGGTTGACCGTAGTGACCATTTTGTATACACAATTTAATAATATAGTAGCCATTATGTATATTGTGCTCGTTATATAGTGTGGTTTGAAATCCGTATTGGTTTGCGGATATAGGGTGTTGCGAGGTCGCCATGTTTTTGGTCTTGTGCGACGCAGCAATAAGTTTTCTTTATTTTAACTATCGAACATGCATCAGTGTTAACGTTGCAAGATGTCATAAAGTAAAATACGTATTGAGTATTACACTCGCCGCAAACGACCATTTGTGCACGAGATGACACAACCACGTATATAGAGTGAAACCATTGCAAAAAGTGTTCGAAATTGTAAAATCTGTCGGCACAATAAAGCTTAACCCATCCACCGCCACCCGGTCACATCGGCCCAAACAAACGTCCTAACTAAATAATCGCGCAGCTTGCGCACATTGCGTATACGCACATTTCACCCCAAAGCCCTAGTTTTTGCAAAAATGGGTTACGCACCTTGCGCTGCCTGTCATCCTTTCCAAATCGCTGCGTCATGTTTAAAAACCACTAATCTTTATTTCCATCTCTTTCTAACACATGTGTAAACTGTGCTTCATCCCATTCGGACTTTTGTAAAGCTCGAGCTGGGTATTGACACTTCGAAATTAGAATGTCACGCGTGGGTGCAAACGCAACCATTGTTGTGTTCGATCATTGTCTGGATTCGCAATATTCCGACCAATTATGACAGATTCGGCAGTTATTGAATTCCGAGTGTGTATTTATTGGCTAAGTTAGAATAATATTATGAACAGGGATAGCAATCACTTCATATGTAGTACCTACTGTATTGATTAGTTAGTATTAAAAAGTATATTTATTATATGTGCTCTTTATTTTAAAAACGTGTTCGCTACATTAAAACTTATACCTAGTTCTGTGGACTTTCAAACATACAATGTAAATGTTTGAGTATGAATTGTCTATCGCATGTTGTAAACGCGTGACCGTATCTGTTGGTCAGTGGCAGTTGCTCATTACGATGTCGGGGAAATGACATCTCATTACATATGCTTACAGTTGAAAGTTTAGGTTTTATTTTCCTTTTACGTGACCTTGACGATCAATGATACAAGTACGTTAGCTAATTTATTTGTCGTTCCATGACGTAGCCATATGCTACGTAATTCTTATGTAAAACCACATAACAATAAGTAATAATAATTGTTGTACCGAAATGAAAATATTCCATTATGATAGTGGGCATTGTAACCCAAAAATAACTCACTCATTGTGCAATAATCAATCAAATGGGAGTTCCATTCACAAACAGAATTACACCCTCCTAACCCTTTACATCAATAGTGCATATTGATTCGTTTGCACAATTCTCACATTGCACGTGCCCGCGTGCGGGACTGTGGCGTTACGTATTTCGGGTCAATTCGTAACGATGGACATCTGCGTTTGCAGAAGGGTTAATAAAATAAATAAGGTGAAAGTTATATGTATGATATTTTGTTAAACATTAAGTAACGTCAAGATTACATTGTCGGTTGGCGTTTAGTCTCTAATGTCAAGAAAATAAATACGCAATAAAGTATAAGGAGGTTATACTGTGCAAGCAAAGCTTGTAATGAATCAGTTACAACAAATAGGTACATATGTTTTAGATTCGTGGACTCGAGGAAGCGGCCTGGGGAATTAAATATTTACAGATTTCAGGTAGAAGGTTCTTTACCTAGAAGCTACTATATGTTTGCTTAGACTTATACGGTAAGTACACAGCGTAAATACGGTGATACTTTGCGATCCACCACGCCTTCAGCAACGCATGCAATGGACCAGACAAAGTTTCCGTTATGAGTCAGGTATGAAAAATTAATACCTACACGAGTTTTATTATATGACATAGATGTAACTAAGTATAGGCCGAGTGGACCCAGTCAGGACTCAGAAACCCCACTAAAAATGGATAAGGGGTAAAATATATGCTGTAAAAAGAAACAATTCATGAAGACGATGTCCAAAAAATGGTTACGTCAATGACGTTGTAGAGCTAACAGCTGTTTAATTGTATTTGAGAGAGACAACCAGAATAAGGGGCGGTAAAGAAAATTAGATGAGAATAACAATCACTTTTGAATCTATCTTCTCTCGCCAATCATAGTATCGGGCTTGTTTGAGGCTCTCTTCATTTGCCCATGTCATTGATTCATTCTTCATTAAATAAGTCTTGAAGTAGTGAAAACGAATATTTAGCAAAACTTCAAAATAGCATAGACATGATTTGCAAGGAACTATTGTAACATACTATGAAAGTGATCAACACTTAAGCTACAATTTGCTAAGAAACAACCCACACTATACAATTGAACCTGATTACTATCACATGATACGCACATTACAGTGTTGCAAAGAGTTATGTAACTGATATGCTCCTCTTGAAGTGGCAGTGCCTGTTGGGGCTGTGTGGCAGCCTGTAGGGAGGAAAGTGTGCGAGTGGGCGTGAGCGTGTGACCGGCATAGCGGTGCCTGGTGGTGTGTGCGGCGGCGGGTGCGTGGGGTGGTCTTGACATTGGGCTGATCAGCTGACAGCCGATCGATTTCGTACTTCCTCTTTGTTCTTTATGACTATTTCATACGGTTTTTCGACTCTCGCTATGGTTGATCGGTCGGCGGTTCGCCACTTATGTTTCGTAAGCGACATGTTGTGTTCTTATTCTAGATTAGATTTATTTATTTTTAGTTTTTACCAATAAATACCATTACAAAAAAAATCTTTTAACACGTCAATATTGTCGATGGTAATTTTTAAAATAATATTTTAAAAATAGGCGGAAAGGTTTTAAGTTTATAATTCATGAAAACCGCCCAAAAACTGGTGAATTGTAAAGGTGCCATATTTGATCATGATAACACAACCACACACATTTCCACAAAGCCTTAAAAAACTATTACTGTTAAGTAGGGATCAGTTACCTCAGCCACCGCATTCATCCGACACAGTCCCTTTAGATTTTCATTTGTTTCGGTGTTTACAAAACTCTTTGAATGGACTCGACTTTGATACGACATTTAAAGGTGTATTTTAAAAATGCAAAGCAAGTAAAAAAAGGAATTTTTATAAAAGGGGAATTCTAAAATTGCCCAAAAATTGTAGATCAGCAAGGCCATATATAAGTAATTGATTACAGTTTGATTTTTTTAAATGTTTTTCATCTATACCGCGCGGATTTTTAGATCACCCTAATACAGACATTTTATAAAACATCTAATATTTTCCGAATAAAGCGTATTTTCTTAAAACAGAATACTGAACACTAATTTTGAAGAAAGTAATCAAGTTATACGCAGTTTTTGTATCCAGACTGAGTTTGCGCCGTCTGACCTAGCCAAGGCCGGGAACCTAGACAAAGTCAGAGAAGGACGTTTTACATTAATTTCATCATCTTTTTATATTATTAACTTGGAACAGGTATTTATGACAATGGAGTGAATTTGTTAATAACATTTTTATTATGAAGAAAAAAAATGTTTTTTGTAAGAAATCCACAGCACAGCCGGTGTTTGCGAGAACTTGACCGCGCACTTCTGTTATTAGTAACAAGCCAGGAAAGCCTTAGCAATTTTTATCTCTTTGTCAGGTTGAGGCAAGTTAGACGAAGTTTTGAACTAATTAAAAATCTATTGTGAAATAAAAACTTTATATTACTGGTAATCGTACTGTTTCTGGCTACGTGGCTGATAAAAATTTATGACGGTGCTAATAGCTCTTTTAAGTGTATTGTACCTGTTTTAAATACTTATTGTAAATTATAAATGCCTAGAAAGAGGGCCTGAAGGATTATTCTCAGGAGAATTTGCTTTACAAATTAGTATAGTGTCAAGGAGTACGACGACTTCAACTGAAATTTGCTTATTAATTGAACTAAAAAAAGAAATTTCAAGTCGAACTTGGCACACTGAAGTTATTTAGTGAACCATAATGATTCTTTGTAATTTTGATGTTATAGAATAACTCAAAATACCCATTAGTTACACCAAGTTTTTGTTAGTCCCGTGGTGAAGAAATAGAATCACATTCTTATGGCACGTGATGCGAGAACTAAGCCGTTGGAAAATGTCTATACGAACGGAAACTCCATTTCAGTTTGTTCGAGATAACAGATATTGTTATAGATTTACAGTAGATATTCGTTTCATCATTACTCTAAAGAAGGGTCTTAGGCCATGTTCCCCACGACGGTCCATTGTTTGTTTCCACTCATCGTTTGTTACTTCACTTGCAAATTAAAGTCACAGGTAGAGTAGTTCGAAACGTCGTCGTATCAATTGACAAGCAAATAATTATGGCCTTTAAAGGCTACTGTTATAAAGATAAATAATTTCGCATCTTTTCAGACACGAGAAATGTTTGGCGTTGAGTACACGGCGCTCGCTCCGAACGACGGCCAAGGGACTGCGACATTTTGTCGTACTGAGCGGACATCCTTATACATGTTTTACACAAATGGGATTGTTGTCAGACGTGTAGGTACGAGTATGTTGTTTCAGTTCTGATCTCTCCGCAAGGGAGAGCTAAAAGCAGTGTCAAGTTTAGGTCCAAACAACAAGGTGCGAAAGCTCAACTCCATTATATGATAATTTTTTATTTAAATTAGCTCTTGGTGTTCCTGTGTCCTAACCACTAACGCGACGTATCCTCGCTCACCTTGACCTTTTGTATAGGCTACACAGTTCCTATTTAACGTAACTACAAACTGTATAAATAGCTACGTACGACGCCTCTAGGTAACCTAACACGGGTGGAACGGATATAAGACCTATATAGATACATTATATCTGCATATGTACATGTATTATTACAGTACGATAGGAAGTAATATTTGCAAATGTAGACCCATTGTTATAAAAACAGATTCCCTGCTCTATTTAGATACCAATCAGAATAGGTTTGATTTCTAGAAAGATTTTTTTAACATTATCTGCGATTTTTTTTTTGTCATGAAAACATAGGAAACATTTTGCTTCTACGTCACCTGTTACTAAGTAAGATGTTTTGTAGTATACACATTGCGTAGAAAATTTTACATTGAACGTAGCCATAATGAACTAATGGAAAATGTAACAGTAGATCTTGTATTTCTTAATGTTTTAAGGAGAATAAAAAAGAAGTTTATAAGTTTACCAAACAAGCTAATATTAATTTCACTCGAGAAAATTCCACAAGTAAACGACACGAAAAAAGTAATCGATTGAAATTTCGGGTTACATATATATTTATATGTGAATTTATCACTTGAGGAATATACACGGGACTTGCCACAATGGGAAGGGCGGAATTCTGTTAGCGTTCTGTTGATTTGTATGAAAATCACTCCTCGTACCAAAGGCATAGGGACTAGACCGCTTTACCGTATGCGTTGGTCACCTTATTTTTCACTATGCGATTGTAGCTTATAACTTATTGTTTAATGTCCTTATTTAAACATCTTACAGAGGGCGATGCTACAGGCCGTTTGAATCGACTAATTTATTAAATTTATTGTCTATAAGTCGTAGGTTTGAATCATAGGCACGTCCTAATGCCTACGATATAGTGTGCATGTTATCTTATTAAGTAATACCAGAGATACAGGGCTTAACTTGGGATGTCTAAGAATCAAAAGAGGCATATTTTTAAGTATCGTACAATGTGTGAAGAAGTTAGATAAAAACTAATTTGCCTACATTTTTTAATGCAATTAGTGTGCTATAATAATAGGTGTCACACCTCCCCTTAACCCATCCCAACTCCCCCCCAAATTCGTGCAAACACGAGAACGGAATACAAATTCACGTTTGTGTGCAAAGGGTATACACGACTTGGCTACCTTAACTGTCTTTCCCCAATTTTTTTTACCAGAGCCCGGAAATGCTTCATCGGAAACTGGAAATTTGTTCACATTTATGTAAAAAGCTTTCGTAATTATAATTTTCAAGCGAGTTGTTGATTGCGAAATTTCTTTTTTGTTGGTTACATGATTCATTTTCTTTAAATTAAACCGAGAAGTTGTTTTGGTTCTGGTATAATTAGAATCCTTGCAAAACCCTTGTTTTCTCTACCGACCCACACTATTTTTAATTTTGTATGATACAGAATAAACGAAAAATGTACATGGGCTAATGTTTGGTAGCAATATCTCTCGCTTTCCTTCATCCTTAGATGAAGGAAACTATTAGGACGAAACAGGTACACAACTTTTGGAAAACATGTGAACTCCCCAACACTCATCGGGCTAGTGTGGCGGACTATGACCTAAACCCTTTAAAGCCTGTATACAGGGTCGATGGTGGTGACGGGTAGAGGTATTCTTTCGGGACTGTGTTAAGGTCCAATATTGACTACTCATTCAGGTATTATTAATCTTAGGCTCGTCCCGGTAACAAATCAGGTCGGGCAAAGCGAGAATAAAATCAAAGAAAGTAGAAATTCTCGGCGTTGAGCGTGTATGTCACTAGAGTAATAAAGTCAATTGAAGTACACACCACCAGTGTTGGGCGCGGTGTAAAGATGGTGCCTGGCGGCCGGCGCAGGAGCTAGCAGGCCATGCAGCAGCGCGCGGCCGAGCGTGCCTCGCGCGCCCAGAGGCAATCCCGCTGGTTCGCCGTCCACTGAAACAACGGAAACACAATTTGTTAGGACACCAAATAATCTCATGATATACGTAATAATTACAATTTAAAAACTAAAGCCAAATTAAATTAATATGGTGCTCTAAATATTCCCGTTTGTACATACATGTTCCCACCCTCTACGCTCCTGAGCCTAAGCCATTCCTTGTACTTTTGACATAGCCTCTTTGTTCCTCTCATTCGTACTACTGATTCTTAGTACTTATCTTAGATTGAGCCATTCTTTGTACTTTTGACTTGGCCTCTTTTGTTCCTCTCATTCGTAATACTGCTTCTACTTGTCTAGAT